CTCCTCTCCTCCCTCACCTTGGCATCCACAGGTTAGTGCTTGTTGTGGAGTGTCTTGATTGGGATTTCGGGAGGATTGGTGCCATTGATTATTCTAGTGACTCAGCTAAACATCAAGCAGCTGGCTTGTAATAACCACCAATAAAACAACTGTCTTATGTTTTGTACAAGATTATCCATTTTAAGCTGTTTGGGTTAAAACTGCTCAATTTCAGATCTGTCCCTCGCAGTACCGCTCTGTAATTCCTTGGCTTTGATAGCCACACTGGTGACTGGGAAGATTCTGGGAGAGGACATTGGCGGCAAAAGTAAGTTACACTTAAAACATTTCCTCACGTTGTCTCCTCCATCTGTTTGCTGACTTAATAGCGTGGGCCGCCCTCTGGTCTCCTGAAAAACAGCAAATACCTGTGCTAGTTTAGCAGTAGCTCTTGCTACAGAAGCTGAAAAGGAAGTGAAATGGACTTGTGAGTGGGCAGGGCTAGTAAATTTGAAGATAGAACTGGCTCTACCTAAGGTAACAGAGTTTACAGGCCTGAGCCTTTACCTAACTAGATATTTAACCGTAAGAGAAGCGCTAAACAATATGCCCACCGTGGATTAGGAGTGCCCCATAAGTGCCCAAATGTCAACACCCATCCTTCTTTCCTTCCCTTACGTCCTACAGTAACATTGCTCAGAAAGTCAGAAAATGGCAGGGAACTTGAAAGCTTAAAAACACCGGGACCTGGCGTAATAGCTGTAGGAATACACTAAAGTGGGTTTTTTTGTTGTTTAAGCCTGGTTCTCGCTAGCCTGCCATACAGCATCAGCAACGTTTTCTTAGAAACATGCTTTGCCTGATGTACACAGGCAGTCCAAATGTCCAGACCCCGTCAGAACTGGCCTGGTCCAGGCTGTATCTCACCAGATGTTTACGCTATCCTATTTACCGTGACATCTTGAGCATCGTGTATGTAGCAATGAGAAGATCTGACTAGGGTTGAACTGTGTACATTCCCAATATATTCTTCTTTATTTCTGGAGGGGCTGTGGCAGGGATGGTGGTCCCTGTCCTTGGGGGCCACCCCCGCCAAG